ATCTCACAAAGTAATAAACAGTGTGCAGGTGAGGGCAAAGCACACATTGAGCTAATTAAGAGCTCACTGTGATTAGGATTCCAACAAATATCATAGCAGAACATAAGCAAATTGTATCTGAGTTCCATAATGAATATACATGCTGCAGTAACAGTAAAAACCAAGGCAGCCTATTCCAAATTAGCGAGAATGGTTTTGTGCCAGTAGTGGGTCTTTGTGTGTTTGAGCTCCCACCACGTAAGGGCAAACTCGATAGGCATGCTAATGACCTATGATTATCAAATTAAAAACGAAAAATTCTAAAGGATGCCAGAGTGGACATCAGTGAAAGCCACATGAAGACCCACTCTCCTTTAACATTTTACAAATAAACTATAAATTAGAAGCAGAAATCATCATGAGTGGCTCTAACATTCAAATAAAGTAACATGTAGACTAACCCTATAACTTTGTTCCTTTGTAAATTTCTTGGGCAGCTCTTAGCTGATGGTGATGTTTACTTCTTCCTTCACCGCAGCCCGGTAAAAGCATGGCATAGAGGGACTGCTGCCCAAGGGTCGGTGTTGCTGGCTGCCCTGCAGCTCACAAAGCCATGTGCCATCTGTTGTGCAGTGGGGTTGTGGTGTACTCTTCCTCCTGCAGGCTCTAGGCTGTCGCTGTCATCGTCCAGGCTCATCTCATAAAATTCTTTGGAGAGAGGGAGGCGGGGATCTGAGCGCAGTGCCAGCCTCCCCTGCTCCTGCCTGCCCACCCTGCCTGAGTGCTCTGCTCACCATCCTTGTCAGCAGCACCAAGCTCCTGGGGGGCTGGGGCCCCCGGAGTGGACTCATTAGCAGGGTGCTGGACCTCATGGTCTATCGTAAGCTGTATCACTGGCCCCTGCAGCTCCAGCAGCTTCACCTGGAGATAGGGGTGCTCAGCTGCCACGCCGGTGCCGGCACCCATGCTCACGCCCACCCCCACCCCCCTCACCCCTGTAGAGATGTTGTACACCTTCCCCTCATCCCCTCCTCGGCCTCGGACCGCATGCTAACATCGTTCTTCTTCTGATGCTGGGTCTTGGCCACCGCCCTCTGACGGTCATTTGGTTTGATGGACTTTCCTGCGGGAGGACAGGCTCAGACGCTGGGGTCCCTCCCACCACCCTGCAGCTCCCCCTGCCCTGCCCTGGCCTCCTGCTGACTTATCATGTCTCTCTCTCCAGAGAGCTGGATGAATCCGAGTTCTAGTTTTTCCACCCGCTCCTTGAGGTCCGCATTCTCCTTCACAATGTCAATGAAGCCTCTCTGGAGCCAAAATAATGTGGTCACATCTCGGCAGCGACCTGCCCCACCCCCACCCTTCATGGCCCCTGCCAGGACTCACTCACCTGCAGCTTGTCGATGGCTTCCTGCAGGGCCCGCTGGGTCTCCCCACACCCACACTCACTCCCAGTCCCTGTGGCCACGGCCGCTGCCTCCGGCTCCCTCAAGGCCGAGGCCATCGGGTGAGCCTGGTGCTGGCAGCACACCTGTTGTTTCTGGAGCTGCTCACAGAGCTGTGCCTGCTCCTCCTGGGCACTACTGGCTCCAGCAGCGTTCAGAAATGGCACCTGAAGGCAAGAGGGGTGAATTCTTGTAGGGCATACACAGGGCAGACAGGGCAGGGAGGCGGAGCGCAGCCCCTTCTCTTGGGGCCTCAGAGAGTGCACCTGTCAGTCATGAAGGTGTCTGATCACTGGCTCCTGGAAGGGGTGAGGGTCCAGAGGAATCCGAAGGTGGGGAAACCAAGAGCATAAGGGGGTCTGGGAGG